AATGTTTTATCGTAGAGTGACAAATTCAAGCTTTCCGTTTCGCCTGTTATCGATGTTTTATGTATGTCATCCCCCTATGACAACCGTTTCGTAGCCATTGTAATATAAACATTACGACATAATACGTGCCAGTGATTTAGGTAGCGTTTTCATGAGATTGCTATGCCCGTTGATAACTATGTGATGCTTTCCCACGATGGGAATCACAACCTAATGCTTCTACGAGGGTTTGCTTAAGTTTTCACGAGTCGAGATCCGATCTCGCTGGCTAGAAACTGGTTTTATTTCGTCAAGGGTAACTGGTATTAACCAGAACCTGTCATGCCGATAGGTAGTCAAATAATACTATATTTTTCTATTCCATCAAAGATCAGTTGTATTTAATCTTAAAGCCGCGTACAAGTAATCCATTGATCCTTTTATAGCTATTTATAGAGAAAAACGAAAAGGGGTACTCGGCTGAAAAAACAGCAGCGATAGAAGGCCGTGGCCAATCAACTAAACAGCTGTCCTCGAGTTGCTAAAAGTAAATGGCCTTCATATAGTATGCCCGGTTGGTTTATAGATTAAAAAATAATTACTAGGGTGCGGAGTGCTATTGGCTATATGCTATTAACAACACGGCTTCTGTTGTCTTTTTCAGCTATTTTCAATTTGAAATAATACATTTGCACGTAATAGCTAGGTTGAAGGCAAGATTAATAATCAAAGTTATGACATTGCAAATGGTTCTGCGAGTGATAATGAGCAGAGTGGCGCATTTCGCATTTCCAATGCACAGTTTAACTTGATGTAAGGCAAAAGTTGAAGCTACTACAATAATCTATCACTTATTGGGCCCATATTGACGCTTCAGTTGATTTGCATGTGGTCGCTGGTAGACCACTGATGACTGCCATGCCAAGGAACATAGCGGATGAAACGATTGATATACGCAGCTATTGAGAACATCTCTTCTATCCATGCTCATTTATGAATAATAGTGGGGAAGCGCTTGGAGCCTTCTGTAGAGGTCGAGAGATATACACGCACAACACAAAATAGCCGTTTTATTAAACCTTTGCCGCTGTAGAAACATTTTCGGCTGGAAGTTATTTTTTTTTCGTTATGCCTTTGTTTTAGATACAAACGCAACCGTTATTTGCATAATCGTTCGTTACCAATCATTAAAGTGAGTTCATAGAAGTCACTTTAATGCGCTTAACGGCGGCGCTTAACCGTAGTGCTAGAGTTAATGAGGTGAAACTAAAATGACGCACAGTCTATCCAGTGGTGGAATACGCGTGCCAGCACTGTTCCAATATTTTCTTTTCTCTTTTCGGTGATACCACTTAAGATAACGACCTCGACCACTGCCGCAGTAGCTAGACTTGCAGCTGCAACAGCAGCAGAAGCAACATGGACGTCGCCTTATTACCGTCGTGTGCACACCTGGCACTAAAAAAATTGCCTTTCATCTGTCTTAAGCAGCAATGTGTTTCAGTCCGGTGTTGTGTAACCTGTCATAAATCAGGCTCATCGAAATAATAACGCTCTTGCCAGTGTGTTGTTCTTATTGGTGCTGTTGTGTTGGCTGTTAAATAGCGAGGGCGAGTGGTGCAAGTATCAGCATCCGCTCTCGCCAATCGTCGTACTGTTGCGACAACACGGCGGGTGTTAGTCACAGAGGCTATTGCTAGGTATGGATAAGCAAAACAAGATAGGAACAGCTGGGCGCTGGCCGGCTAGGTAGTTTAGATATATAAATGTAGCATAGCGCTGATAAACAGCAGACAGCTTATAAAGGGTATTCAAGTTACGCTATATCTGTTGATGCCCTTCAACGCGAAAAGCTTTCATACGTTTTGGACGGAACTCAGCAATAGTAGTTCTCATCGTCGTCTTGGTAGACCTAATAGCCAGTTTACTTTTTAAACGTCGGTGCGGTTGCTCCCTTCGGGTCAATGCTCCTTGAGCTGAACACCGTACCTACAGAATAGCTACGTACTAGCATGTGCTAAAAACATGAGGCGCATCGTCCACCATTCTGATTTCTGCCGACGTTGTCGCACTTCGTCGCTAGGATCACGAAGGGTTTGCAATGTGAAAACAGCTGCGGAAACTCCCGTAGAAATTCACTGATATAATGCAATATGTTGCAACAAACTACGATGGAATGTAGTGTGCCAATGATGTCTTCACAAATGAATGCTTTCTATGTGCAACTTTCTATGATAACTATGGCAGCCTATAGCAGCGACACGAGATTAAAAAAGTTTTTTTTATACTTTTATATTTCTTCTATTCTTCATCTATAGTACTAGAGTACAGACGTTAATCGTGATGCCTTTATACTACACAATTTTTCCTTCTTTGAGCTGATGTAATGCCATATATTGTAACACAATTGTTTACTAACTAGTTAAACTGGACAGCCATTAGAACAAGTGTAGGACAGGGTGGAGTTATATAGGCTGGAATGGCGAAGCTATAGGGGCGATTGTATTTAGGGCTTTTATGAAACTGCGCACCATGGATGTTAATTCTTCAGTGTAACTGAAAAAGCCTCGGGATACAACTCAGCTTGGTAGATGAGTTGAGGCTTCGTATTCCCGCGTTCGCTAAATCATATGTTGATATTGTCAACGTGTCATATGTGGTTGCACTTGAGAAAAATGTTGCCCATTTTATTAAAGTAGCGTATCATTCGGACAAAAAAATATTGTCAAAGTATGCACCTTATTGTTGACAATCGGTAAGGTTCTAGAATAAATATTTATCTGTAACAGAGGCATGGTCATGGTCATACAAACTTCAGTGCTATGATGTTCGGAATGGTACGATATCGCTTTTCCTCCTCACTGCTCGGATAGAATGTATTTAAAAGTTTAAATAAAGAAAAAAGTCGAACAGGATGTGCCACTGCTGGGCCGTCTAAACTCCAGCTTCGCACTGCGCAGAGCTCTATGTGAATCGATGCTAGTCGAATCATTATTTTTTATCCACCTAACTTGGCACTAAATGTTTATTGAGCATTGCCTTCTTTAGCTATAGTCATAGCCCCTTCTATGAAGAAAAGCACCTTGCCTGTAGCTTTGTTGAGTGATATACCCCTGTGTGGCCCATGCAGCCCCTCCTTTGCCCTATTATATAACCCACATAACAGCAAGGTTGTTTGTGCCAACGATGCAGGTGTCTTGAACTAACTTTCCTCGAAAACAAATTGGTTGTCGAGTAACGAGCTCGAGAGCTAGAGTGAGTAGGCCACATAACAGAAGAGTCTTTGACGAACATACAGAAATATTTTCCTTTCTTGGCGTCATTTATTTTCGACAACAGCATTAAGCAAGTTTTGGCCCATACAGCACCATCCTTTACTTTATGCAGGATGGGCTGGGGTGAAAGTAGGCTTATAACGGAAAAAGACTAGAAGTATAAAAACAGTACACTGCTAGGAGTCCTGGTGGATTAAAAGATAGCGGCGGCCTCTTTTTTAGAGCGAGCGAAACCGACGCGATTGCTGGATGCTAACCTAGTATAGCTTTGGAAAAGTATCCTGGATGAATAGGCAGACGGATAAGCACCCCTAAGCCATTGTAGGCTTCATGGTTATTTGGCGACGATGAGTGCCCTGAGATGAGCATTAACATAATTCTATCCTTAGTCGTAGTGTTGTGGCCAAGCTAAGTTGACCAAAGCGTGGGTCCAATGGCCTCGTACCCCCCGAATCCTCTATCTGCTACGATTTCCACGTACGCCGACAGGAGATTACAATGCCGTAAGGAACCTGTTATGTTTTTATGCTTCCAGAGCACAAGCGGTTTTTTGGCAGCCATAAACAGCGAATATTTACAAGTAAAATTTTTCATTTGCTACCTGTGTAAATTATAAACAATTTCTTCGACCCCGTTTTACATCGTACAAGTAGCATGTATAAATGAAACGAAGTACTATCTCTTTAGTATTGTCATAGGTGTAGTTAAACACCGGGAGAGTACGGTAGTCAAAAAAACTTACTCTACATTATAAGAATAAGGGATTATGTATTTATTTCAAAAAACAAGATCTGGTAGTGATGAAGTGCTCGTTTCGCTGGTTTTAACTAGATACTTTTTCGTATAGTCAGAAGAGAGCTTGTCGTTCAGGCTTACATCATAGCAGATGTGACCAAACGAGCTGCTACTATCGGCTTACGCCCGCTATTATTATTATTATTATACAAATGCATGTATATTTAGCAATTAGTTTGATGATAGCACCGCATGATTTACGTGGCAGACATGTTATCTGATGGAATAAATGTATTACTTACATAGTAGTTATATATGGAGTCCATGCTACAAGTCGTATGGCTTTGTGTGTTGTTCTCGTGCGTTCGCTTGTATTGCCAATCAGGGTCACTTGTCATCGTAATATTATTTTATTATTTATCAATGTCGTACGGGGACACGGCCCACGTCCGACTGCATATATTCAGACATTTTCTCCAAGTCGAGAGAAGACGCAGTACGAATATAGCAAGACGATTCGTTTAGATACGTTTCAAAGTTCATATATATCAGTGCAGTTTTTGGCCATTTGGGAACGATGTAACAAATGCATTTTTAGTGGTTGGGAGATATTCACAATGGCAAAAACGCAGTGTTTAGCAGAGATACGTAACGGAACGAGTAGTTAAACGTTTAACCACATATGCTTAACTAGTCACAAGATTGAAATCTAGGTCATTCATAGAGCTTAGAGATACCAGAGCTGGAAAAGGTGTGCGTGTATGGGATTGCTTTGCAACGGGGAAATCCTCGAATCGGTTTAGGCTATATAATGTTTGGTGTACAAAACTGGACCGAATGCAATCAGATATGTATTTAATGTGAGATCTATTTCTAGCTATATAGAAACTAGCTAATTGACGACTAGTAAACTAGTATTAATATTATTATCATGGATTCTATATGAATTGCCGGACAAAAAAACGTCCAACTATTTGTGGGCAAATTTAAAACATTGTAAAGAAGCAGAATCATCAAACAAGTACTTTGTTTTGACGAAATATCATACGAACTCATTAGAATGAAAAGCACAATCTGTGCTTTTAAAGTTCTTTGATCAACGAACACATAAGACAGCAAAAATCTTGCCGGTGTAAGTTTATGAATTATTCTTCTTGGCGACCAGTAACTGCGATGTGTTATCATGCGCTTTGTTTCCGAGTGACCTCTACTAGTACTCTTCATTTCTCATCCATCCTAATTTTTCTGTATCCTTTTCACATACTAAGAATTAACTTTAACCCTCTTGACCCGCCTGCGTATTCAGTTTCTCAGTTGTGAGATGGCTGTGGAAAAGGCCCACCAAAAGCTCATCCCTCCCCTTACGCCACTCCCCCTGCCCCCCAAAAAGGAATGTCTGTTTCTTTCTCCAGAAAAACAACGTCGCTATGATGCGTGTTCCTGTTTGTTTACCGGGTTTGAACTGCTGCTAGAGTTGCTTTTAGCACCGCCGTGCTTCTGCTACTGTTGCTATTGCTGATTCAACTGCTGTTGACGCTTGACGAGCTAATCTTTACAACAGGCGCCACTTATTCGCGTGTTAAACGCCCAGCCAAACACCGTGCGCCATCACAGACTCATCGACACACACACAGACTGACAACGCATGTTTGTTGTACGTTATAGATATACTACGTTGAATGAATAGTTGTTTTAGCAAAACCTACTCCTGGCTCTGTTGTGTATACTCAATGTAGGACTAAATGCGCTATCATTTTTGGCTATTGCTTCGTTTTACCGTCGGCGTTGCACGCTGTATTGTAGACCAGGCTGACATTTGCGTTGAGATCAAAACCATTTTATCGATTGAATCGTTAGGTGGTCAATGCCTTGCGTCGATGCAATAAGGCACATTGTATTTAAGTATGTATTAGATACCATTGCGGAAGTTAATATTACGTCGTAACCGGCGACAGCGGTGCATTCGTCTAGTACACGCCTGTAAAATATGACCGATATTCTTCTTGCTTGTTCTTGTTACCGACGCGTTTTCTTTTCTCCTCCTTCGGAACACGACTACGGTATTTTGGTACTAGTGGAACTAGCAGTAGCCAGGTGGTTGAATCGACATTGTTTGCAAATCGTTTAGTACAGAATTTTATTCGTATTATTATTATTATTATCGATATTACGGTCATGGTCGTCGTTTTCGCCTCTGCCATCATAGCCGCCTTGAGTGTAATGACATAATGAGACATATATGTTTGCACTGGAAAAAAGAGTTGCAATTTCACGCCGCGCCATAAGACGTCGACTGCCGTCACTGCTACGTAGTTGTTGTCAGCCGAAACGGCCAGCGAGACTGCTTTCTATACTAGATAAGGCTGATCGGCTACAGCGGCTGTGGCTGCTTTTGTTCTGCATAGCCTGACGTAACCTACCGTTGGTACAAATGCCTACCTCAGGCCTAAACAGCGCCCAAACATTCCCTAATTGTCTGCGCCATTACCAGTAGATGAATGTATCAGTTGTCGGTTGAGGTAGCCCAACTTAGGCGAATGGAGAGTGCAGGGAACAACGAAGCGAGCTTTGGGTATAACCTAAAAGAACTCCTGCGCACGTGGAGATCAGCTGATTGTCGACCCTCACCTGGTGGCTCTTTCCCACTGGGCCACCGTGCTTGTAGAGTGGAAACTGCTCTATCGGTGACTATAATATTGGTTGCTTAGTTCACGCAAACATCGATTTTAAAGTCGACTAACGACAAATACTGTCAAAATAACGCGGCCAGTCGGTGAACAACGGCCGTGTGTCGATCTGAAAGGACGTGTCAAACAATGATACTACAAAAAACCTACGCAAGTGTGTGTCAATCAATTCTTCATTTGAGTTAAAAAGCGTCATGCGAGAGCAAAGAAAATCTGAGAATTGATGTTAGTAGCGACAAAACTGTAGTGAAAAGTGATATCCAAATAAGCGCAAATAAAAACACGCATTAGTATTTGCCAGTGCGCCAAAGTACTTGTAGAACGAGCGAGTAGATGCCCCCTCTTGGTTGGCATTTGCTATGTAGTAGGATACATAGTAGCTTCGGTGCGTAAGATAGGCGGGTGGCAGATTCGATTAGAATCGAAAGACACCTGCAACCATACATTGACAGTGCTACTGATTTTTGTGGCTTTTGCTGCAGTTGCCCACCATCGATTGTCGTATATGTGCCGATACGTGTGAAAAAAACAGTTTTGAAGTGCGAAGTGAGGGGAACGGCTAGATAAGAAAAACTGCCTCAGCAAACGAGAAACAATTGGCCCTGTGCAGAAAGGCCTCGTCGGGCCAGGCTCGTCAGGTACTGTCTATACGCATTTGACGATGGTCGAAAAAATGACTACGTTTTCATCGCCGTACGCGCTTACCAGGCGCGGGATCACTGCCAATGAGTTGTTGGCCAACGCAACAGAAGGAGATCCTATTCTAGGTAACTACACATACAGTAGTATGCGTGATGATGGTTCTTTGCACTGTAATCATGTCGTATTTTCGAGCAGGTCGATGAGGGACAGAAGACGATAGCTATTCACGTATATGTATAATAGTGCTTTATAGTAATGCATTTGTTGTTTGCGAGTTTTGCTGCAGACGCTGCTTGACCAAACCAATATATATAATGATATATCGGGATCACTGCCACACCGAGCTGGAAGTTGAAAAGGAAACAGGTATAGCGATACTGAGAAACCATGCATATTCACCGCAGAACAGTGCGGGGAATGGTCGGGCAAAAACAGAACAAGAGTTTTCACAATTAAGTATCAACGTAACACTGTTTCAATAATCATGGTTCGATTTGCTTCAAAGACTAAGCAAATTACTTGTATTACAAGTTAATCTGCTCTTACTTATATTTCAGTTGCAAATCATGATTTTGTTTCCAATGGAATATTTGCATTGTTGAATAGTTATACATTTAAATAATAAATAAAAGAAAGTCTATCTCGGCCGTTGATGACATTAATATAGGTGAGATACTACGTTATCTGTATTATCTGTTATATATGTTACTTTCATCGTTATTGTGTCTAGGCATTGTTATACACAAATATACCAGCTGAATATGATATGATCGTAGATATATTTTTTCGTTACTATGGGAGTACACTCACTCAACTGGACCGCCACAAAAATGAAGTGGAAGCAGAGAAGAGCGTATAGGGGCAGCGTTTATAACGCCTCTGAAGCTGATCCACCCAGTGCATCATAATCGGATCGCAACGGATGGTAGTTAAGCAGCCGCCGTCAGAGGCATTTCAGTGCTAGCCTCGTTGGAGAATTGTAAGCCTCTCGTTTGCTGGCATTCAGTAAGGGGCATGCAGCTGATATCATTTGTGGTCCACAGCAGCAGCGAGAGTAACAGCATCGTTTACGACTCTGATGAACGCGGCAGAAAAGGAGAGCACTGACATGGCTCGGGACGCACAGCAACGTGTCCATCCATCCACAAAACAAACGAATGAACGGGCAGCGGATGCAAAATGCCAATCGTCTTCGTGTTGATAACTGTATCGAAGTGGAAGCAAATAATGTTTTTCCACAGATAACACGCCGCGTAATCTATAAGCTGAAACGCGTGCATATGCGCTTGCATTCAGAAGGTAGCGGTAAACTATACCAGTGGTCATCCCTGATAATGGGAGCTCGCTGTCCCCTTCAAACTTAACGCTGGCGTTCTGTTCCTTTTGGGCGATTGTTACAACGCAACGTTCTATATTGCAGTACTATTAGCAATTATAGGTTAATTTTAATAGTGGCAGTTACCATTTTTCTAAGTAACCAAAACTCCGATATATGGCAAACATCTCTGGACAGTTTTCTTTTTTACTTTTATTTTTATTGCATCTAATTATTCTGATTCTTTAACAGAAGTAAAACGAAGAGTCAAACTGTATGAAATCTATAATATACATAAGACACTGAGATACCTAAAGATACTAAAGAAGATACCTAAAGAAATACATTTGTGTAATCTGTAGCATCCGGATGAATGTCACCATTTCTGTCATGTGAGAAAGCTGTACTATCTGTAGCTTACAACGATTCAAGGATAAAGGATTATAGTGAGTGTTATTCAACGTCTCAGACTATTTATATCAGAATGTGGGTATTGCGCATTAATGGAGGTCCCACCATCCTGACTGGTTAATCGCAATGATGGAAGGACGTCGACACTGAAAGAGGCAGCATCGTGCAAAACAAACCCACCTCAAAGCCACCAAGCAGTCCTTGTGTTTAACGTGAGAGGGCAAACATAACAGATTATTGTTCTTGTCGCCCCCATGCGATTAACTATCAACCGTAGGCAAAGTTAAACATGTGAAAAAGGGCCCCTATAGCATCATTGATGATTTTGTTTCTTCCAGTCGCTACTGTGACAGTTGTCAAAGGTTCGTTTGGTCGCACAAATATGGCGGTTTAGAGTAACCTAGCTGATTTTAGGTCACTCATTTATAGAATATAGAAAGAGATTTAATGGTAGGTGCTATTCTTAGTATAAATTGGTATGGGCAGAAGCTCGACTAAATATTTCTGCGCTTCCAGCAGTTATCTGCTAGTGGTTTAGTTTAGAACTTGTCGTACAAAATGGCGCTAGACTGAGATGGCCAAACGAAACAACCGATATAAACGTAGTGCGGCGGCTGTATGTAGATATGTATATTTGACAGGATAATGAAACACATGCTAGCATTAGAAAGAAACTGCTATCAACTGACTGAAACAACCTCCGATACTTTGATGGGACAAAGTTAGCAGCCTAATCAATTGGCTACTCGAGTAATTTACCTTTTGCAAACTGTTCCAGACAGTAGCACTCACGATCCCTTCATTCGTGTACGTGTGTTGTAAGACAGAAATTCGTTTTGTTCATTTACCTAATATTATCAAAATAGATGCCTAGGGGCAATGAACTATTGCCCTGCGTGCGAGCCGACAACGGTTCGGTCAATTGTGTCACTACTGTAGTGTGAAGAAGCTTGATATCGCTACTCACTTACATCTAATTGATTGCATTTTGAGAGTATCTCCACTATTGGTAATATCATAATCATTGTATTACCTAGCTCTAATAAACCTGAAGGTAACTGTTAAAAAAGTTCAAATTCAAAAAGAAATTCAAATTGAAATCAACAATGGGTTGTATATTCGATTCTTAGAATAAAAATATCTTCATATAAGGCAATCTTAGTTTAGAATAAACCAGAGAATTCTATTTTTGGTATGTTCTTTGCCCTACCATCATAGAAACGTTTGCTGGAGTTTCGCCTAATATAATATTCAGGCTTACAACTTTGTAGATTAGATAATCTTCTAGGCTTATCTTATAGGCTTCTAGACTTTTAAGGCTTGTCTGGTACTGGTTTTGGAGGGTGTCAACGAACTTTGATGTAACTGTAGTACTCAGTTCGAGTACTACAGTTACATCAAAGTTAGCTCACTTGTTTGCGTCGCTAGAATGATTTATTTTTACAGAGTTACTTACAAATGTGAAGCCTTTGTTTTTATCTGGTTTACAAGTGCCTAATGATAATAACATTCAAGGTTTTTTTTCTTGATATACAAACGGCAGTGATAAACCTATTGAACTGAACCTAAACTATAATTAGCGATTCGAGTGGTCCGCGATTAGAACAGCTCCGTACATTTATTTCATATTTTAGGACTGTCGCATATGACATCTATCTGGTTTATAAGGAAATAGGATAATGTTTTTTTTTTCTATCTATTTGCTTTAACTTAGTGCTTAGATAATGTGAGAATAGAGGATTGCGATTGACGCTACCGTAATTAACCATGCGACCCAACGAACTAATCAAATGTTAATAACAATTTTGCATGACGTAGTCTACGCCTGGCCCACCTTTTTTTTTCATTTTTCTATCAATACTTAACATTATGGCTCACTAGATAGTGTGTCGCGGGGTCGTTTCTCCCTGCAATTAACAGTTTCATTCACACAAACTTTCTCATTCGAGCTAAAACATCTAAGACTGGGTTTCACCACTAATTATTCCGTCCTGATAATAATGAGCCGCTTCCCACCGCGACATGTTTTCAAGTATTCTTTTTTTACTATCAAGCCCAGAGCTTTAATTGGGTTTTTTCGAATCATCCTCTATGAAAATATTCGCCTGCAGCCTAAAAACAAATTACGTTTACTATCGCATGTCCCTAACCTGCAGATAAAATAACAGTTAAGCACCCTGTATTAATTGTCGTCGCAGTAAATGCGCAGTTAGGCCAACTTTAGCTGGCACTTTCTGTTTAGCTACTATGCTTTTCTGTTCTGTTTTGTTTTCCTGTTGCACCGTCTTAAATGCAATCGGCCTATTGCTATAGGACACCAATAACAGGGACAACGGCTATAATAAGACGATGAGGACAACTTTCATGTATTCTCATTCCTCTCCACTTTTCTTCCCCTCCTATTGCGATAGCTCTTGCAGCGCCTGTTATGTTTGTTTGTTGATGTCACAACGAGTGGCAACCAATATGCCCTTCTTTTCTGCGCGCGAACATGGTTCTAAGCGCGTTTTTTGTAATGATTGTATACACATATTCGCGCTTTTGCCTGATCGCGGTTGTAAGCAGCAGCGCTGCATGACAAGTAGCTGGATATCCGTTACCAGTAGGCATCGTTAAACGGCCGGGTAGCGATGCAGTAGACTGTAACGAGAAAGATAGACGAGCCCTGACTCTTGCTACCACGGCTGTCAGAACCAGTTTAATATCTATTCTATTAGTCATTCAAGGCGACGTCCTGAGACAGAACACGGATTGACTGACACAGTTAATATTTCTATTGAATTGAACAATAATGGAAATGGTTGCCGTAGATTTAATGAAACTTAAGTTTACTTTCGTTGGCAGAATGTCCTAAAGTGCTGCCACTTTATTCGCAATACTTAGTGGCTTTTGAGCTCTGTAATTAATCACTTCATCAGTACTTTTTTTTAGACCGCACACTGTTTGTTGGACAAACATCTGAACAACACTTGGTGGTGGTATCGATTAAAGGAACAAGAAAGAGCCCCCAGGTAATAGTAAATCATTTAGATTATATAGCTGCGCATTGCTATGTCGCTAAGTCAGCGTTTTGTTGAAGTAGCGTTGGTAGGACACTATGGCATTAATTTATTAGCGGGGGTTTTGTAGGAGTTTCAAGAATTGGGGACCGGCTGACACTAGAAATAGTTAGTGAGTCACGAAAGTGCCGAACGCACAACAGACGACTACCTTTGAAGGCATTTTCTGTTGTCGTCTAGTAGTAAAACGTGCATTTATATCAAATCAACATACGTTAGAGCAGAACTTAAACTAATTAAATAATTAGGAGATATCGTTACTTTAGAAATTTTTCAAGGAGGACAGCCTTCACTATGTTACGGTGGCAGACATATATGGAACCTACTAAAGCGAATTACCATATCAAATTCGACAATCAATAGTAGCAAGAATTTGCAGTTAATATTCTGCGTTAAAGGACCTACTCCATTAAAGAACCTTCTCTGTTGTAACGTATTTCTCAACTCGTAAGGACGTGTTCTTATTTATAAACCCGACTACAAGATGGCATTGATTCAGGTTGGGAAGATCTATTATTTAATCTTAACGTTATCATAATCATAGATTTTATAGAACCAGTTCGCGCTTGATTCAAAAGGCTATCTCTAGAAATTTTGCGTTTTAACAGTAAGTCTATTCAATCAGCTAGAGCTATCCAGATGTATGTTTTATTTTACATAGAGCTTATTCAAAACCGGTTGAAAGCTATCGTTGATAATACTGTAACAATAAAGCAGAATTTTCGCAATGAAACTGCTTGTTTCTACTCAATCTCAAATGGGTTGCTAGGGGATATTCGGCATTTGTGGCGTAACTTCCCGCTAACCGACGTCACTAGAACAAAAAAGTAAAAGGCTCTAAAGAATACACGTCATAGTTGTTAATTCGCGTTGTATGGACACGTAAACCTGCAATCATTTAACAAGCGACGGAATATCGCTGATGACGGTTGCTGCTTCGTGATGATAAGGCTAAAAGTGAGTTTGAGTTTATCGCCCACAGTCCCACATTATGTAGACATAATTTAACCATTTTTCCAGGATTTATATACTCATGTTTTCTGCTGAAAAATGTTGGTACTTGTATTAACTGAATAGATGGGTGCATGGAGTACATGCGAATTCTAATAGAAAATGAGCTACAATGCAGAAATATTTCATAAAACTAAAAATTTAATTCAATCGTAATCGATCATATAATATTCCACAGCAGCAAAAGATACAAGGTAAAAAAAGATACAAGGAATCGCCGCCTACTGCTTGCTTGGAATAGGTTGAAGAACGAGTTGTACGAACTGTTTAGTCAATAGTAATAATCAACGCCGTGTATCGGCTCATTACTAACACAGTTTTTCCGTAATAAAGTTGCGAGTTAGGTCACCTTGATTTTACTAGGTGACAAACTTTTGTCCAATTTACACATGTCATTTGTTAAATTGCAGAAGATTATTTTTGACTGAAATATTAGAAATGCTGTCCCGAAGTCTTAGAGTAAACTACGAATTTGTTACAATGGGGCCAAACATTTCGATTAACGAGTGTGTCTGGCGTACGCGAATCCGGATCATTATATAAAATTATAAGGAAAATTTCTACCGTCACTAATAGGGCCTTCAGTGACCTTAACTTATAACATCTGGGCCGTGCGTTGCTTCGTGCAACATTAACAAATAGTACAGTAGCATTACTCTCACTGTTCAAGGAAATTACACTAGTTAATTTACTTGAATATTTCCAAAATATGATAAATTCAGTTAGATCGGTATAGGTAATCAGGAATCGTTTAGAAATGAGGCTAAGGTCAGGTGTATTAGTTTATAGTTATAAATACAAAATTATCCGAACAAAAGCGGTGAACATTGCATATGAACTTCTAGTAGGACATCTGTTTAGACAAACAGCAACATTATACTAACGTCGAAATTTCGTTGTTGTTTTTCAGACTCATGGGTGGATCTTTACTACGCAGCATCGCATCCGTCGACCCCGCCTTTACTACCAGCATCGCAAATAGAAAAGCTACTTCTCGAGGCTCAGCGCGAATCGAATCAGAGTTCTCTTAAGAACTCTGGCTACTGCTCACCCCGTACTCCAAAGAGTCTTGCCAGTAACCTCTCTGTTCACGACGATGTGCGTTGGATGAGCTACACAGCGATTTGTTTTATAGCCTTTCATTTTTTATAGCGTTTCAAGCTCCTACAGGAGGCATAATTGTAGGTGAAATTATTCAATACTCCAGTGCCAGTTTACGTTCTCTCGAGCGCAAATCCCATTTCGCTTGATAAATAGCCATATTATTTTGTAGTAGAGCTCTAATAAACCTTTTGCTTGATTTTCTTCGCTCCTGTAGATGCTACACTACAAGGACGCTGACCCAAGTGAATGGATTTGGGACTGGAGCGGTCGACCGGAATCGTCTGTGTCTGCGCGTGACCTCAAATATGGTGGTCAGTCTGGAAAAGCAAATCTGTCACTCCGACACTCGCGGGTGATTCGCAAGGGTGTAATCAGCGAAGTGCTACCGCTCTTTGTTTTCTCGAACCTCTTGTCGATCATCCTTGGAGCCGGCATCGGCCTGTTCTTTGGCAAGCGGTGGAGCGCCGCGCGTAACCTCTCTGTTATTGGGCTTGATTAGGGAACGCGGACATCAATGATGGTTGGAAGGGGGCAGGAAAAAGCTGGAGGACCCAAAAGCAGGATGATGATAAGATCATTGAATTATTATATACTATATATACTATTCCACAGTGACGATACAAGCATCAACATCAGCAACAGCAGCTGTTGCGTCGATCACGAACGACTCTTGTAGGCACTACGCATCTCTAGAGGTCACCGGAGGCGAGCTGGAATTAAGGCAGAAACTAGTTTGGTGGTGCTCAGTCATTGCCCTATCTACGAATAAGCGTATTCAGCTTACAATGATAGAATGGATATATCGAAGTGAAACATTTATAAGTAACAGATCCTAAGCTGCATTTTAAATGTCCATGCAAGTGGCAAAGTCAACGTTGACGATAGCAATTCGTAGTCGATGTAAGCGAGATAAGGGAAAAAGATCAGTCGAGCTTATTTAACAAACGGCAGACCTCCAGTGGATGACAATCGAGAAAAAGGTTAATTAAGTAACAACTTGCTCTTTGTGTTCACAAAATCCCCGGAACCATCATTAGTGCTGCTATCTGTTTGGTTCCCCACCCTCACGTCGAATAGACGCTAACCACTGGGCGACCGCTGAGGACCAAAAAGAAAATACAGGAAAAGAAAACAACGAACAGAAAGACTGTAGTAATGGTAATGGCCTTTGGTCCTCGATAATCAAGACAGACGACAACACGACATACCTCTACCATTTCGCGTGCACCGGAGACAGACATGTGTCGCAATTTGCATTAGACACGGAGCAGAAACACATCGTGAGCAGAACACGAGCGCCAATATCTAATGTACGATTATGTAGTAATAACAGTAATCTAAAATATATATAAATATATACAATTAGGTACAATGCCCTGTTAATAAGAAGTAAGCCCAAATGGATATCAATTGAATCCTAATACGCAGCAAGAGATAGAAATGACATTCTAAGGAAGTTAAAATTGTTTGAATGCTAGCTCTCTAAAAGTATGGCGATGTCGGTTCATGTCTAATTACTAGCCCATGTGAATGAGAATTGTCACAACACAGGCCAAAAGAAAAAAGAAAAAATTGTCTTTTAGTGGATAGACAAATTTGTGTTGATTACACATTATCGCTTACGAGATTAGCCAGTAAGGATCGAAGGACCAAGCGCATTGGCTTACTTAGCTTGTTAGAGACGAAACGTAGGAATAAGATCTATGATTATTAAAAAAAAAGCAATAAAAATCATCAACTGTATGAGTGGCTTGCCCCTAAACATTTTCTGCCTAGTTTGTTCCGAGCTCTATCGCACCCCCAGCTTCTCCATTCCCTTGTATTTAACTTGCAATGTTCTAGTTCTTACAGTCTTTTACCCGAGCTATGAATATTGCAAACGTTGGCGTCGATCAGTGGCTCGATTGACTAAAACAAACGTGTTAGGACTGAAGGTGGTCTCATTGGGAAAAAGGGCTCGATTTGAGACCCTTATTTGGTAAACAAGCTAAGTATCGCTTCGCAAAACCCGTAATTTCGTTGCAAACAGCGGTTCATCCCACATTTTTTTTCCACCTTCGAGAAGAAATATCGTATCCCATAGTCGTTTGTTTCTTCCTTTCCAGTAGAAAACAAGTGGCGGCTTTAATCAACTACGGGACATACGCTTATGTAAGCGACAGCATGGATTTAAAACTGAGAATAATTCTCTTTATCCACAACCAATGTACCAAATTTAAAAGACGCTAGGAAGTTAAATCCTACGCTATAGTATTTTGTCAGTTTTTCTTGTCTGCGCTCTTCTAGCTATTTCCCGCTTACAAAAATTTCAAGACGCGGTGAGCAATTCCGAAATTAAAAAGTAGTGTAGTCGGGAAAAATCGATAGTGGGAAGATGTCAGAGATTCTAAAGGAAACAAACCAACAAGTAGTATATCTATTTGCGTATTGTGTACGAGGATTGAAGAAACTTGCCAGGCGGTTTGCAGTATTTAGTTGTTGTGTTGATATAGCAAGAGAGGTGATCTAACAAACTATTTCGAAGCATACACAAAAGTGTCTACATAACGAGGTCTGCAATAAATATATATATTTCTACACTCCGAAGACAGTTAATAAATCGCTTCGCCGTATTCAAAGGTGGTTAGAACTTAAGTGAAAAAAGGACAACCATCTCAATGCTGGCCGAATACGACTACGAGACGTAGATCCTCAAATAAGTGCAAATAAGCAAAAATAGACGAAATTATGCAAAAACTACTCGCAGAGACAAAATCGATTTTAAATAGAAAGAACGTCTATGTATTATCGACTTCTCTGGCCACAGCAGTAAGCGCTGCTATCCGTATGCTATTCCAATCAACCAAAACAGATGGCAATTAATACTGCAGAATATAACTTCATAATGAAAAAGTAATGATGCGTCCTATCGTCGTCGTCGTCCTCTCTTGCATACAGAAACAAAGAGGAGATATAGTCATGGCCTATATAACAAGCCATCAATCGAACAACGTATGGGATTTCAGAATATCTCCCCTGTCCCAATTGTCCCATACTAGAACCACTAGCCTAACATTGAAACCAATAACTATAGCAGCAGCCTAAGTTACAGGCAAGAATATACATAGGTAACGTCATACTGGTAATTAGTATTAGTAATATTATTATTAATGGCGATGATGAAATAATTTACGTGTAATAATGGTAACTGAAAGCAACTTATTCAGTGTATATCGATGTACTGTATATACCTACGTAAACAGATGTAGTAATGGGGATATAGACAAAACGACAAGTGGGAAATATTAATAAAAGCCTATGTTTAATACTTCGCTTTTTTGTATCATCATTGTTATTATTATTTAGACGGTGACTGAAAACAGAAAAAAAAACCACAAATACAAAAGGATACGAACTAATAATAGATGCAGAACTAGATAGAAAAAAATCAACGGAAGACCGCGCACGATGCCCATATCCGTCCGTCGGAAAGCAGAATAACGGAAAACGTTTGTGGACACGTTTTGTCAAGTAGACAAATTCGACCACTAAAAAATTGCATACATAACAAGCGATAAACAAAAAGAGATTATGTAACATCTTGTATTATTTCGTAACCTACCTAAAATCCCAAATTCACCGAACGTGTTAGGTCCAAAGTTAAAGGCAATAAACAAATTCACTGATTGCGTTAACAAACAAATACGATAACTCACACCAACTATTCACATATATAACCTAAAACCGTGCATACAATCATTTCGGGCTATTAAAGCGAAACTAAACTATGGCCCGATCTGTGAGGAAAACCGAAAACAATCAAATATGAAATTGCAAAAAGCAGCATCGCGAAAAACAGGTCTCCGGCCGTATCGCTTTCATCATGTCATGGGCACATATCATACGCATACCCCGTTTCGCAAACTACGCTTATTATCAATTATACCATAATCATTCAACGGCACGTCTAACGAGAATAACAGTATGATCATGAAGTCAGCGTACATTTAAATCATCTTTTTTCTTATAGTTTTATTTTCGTAGCATTAAAAAGTCTTTACACGGTGAGCACGTTATTGACGAAAAGTTGCAATTTGTTGGTTTGAAAAAACTAAGAAATTAATAGAAAAATAGGAAAACTGCAAAAAAGCGAAATGAGATAATAACGTCATATTCTTGATAATTATAATGTGACATTAGATAAAATTATAATAGAATTAATGAGAGCAACATGAAAAAAGTTGTACATGAATTAATTTAATGACTAGGGAGAAGCATTCATTGCAGAAATGGAGAAATCAACAGCAAAGTGGAAATGCAAATGGACTAGAAGAATGGCTAATGGAATAACATCAAAAACAAGAAAAAAGGCAACGAAGAGGAAAAGCGAGACGGAAAGCGGTTAAAAGCTCGATGTGCATTGCTATGATTGCTAAATATTTAATGAATAAATAAGCGACATTAAAAACTTTGTACGATTTCACCAAGAAAATCTTTGTTCTTCATTGGATACCATAGGCACGGTTGATGATTACACGCAGACCTGAACAATAATGTAACTAATATTCCGGTTAAGCGGTTACGACAAGGAAACTCAGTCATCATCTTATGAGTCAATGAAGTGATGCAAACTTCTTCGCTGTGCGATGTCATACGATAGATTAGAACACTGCTTCTACTGCTATACATCAAGTAGCTACATATTAATTACCTCACATGCAGCTTTATCGAAGCGCGTGTAGGTTCAATAGGCATAGGCCAATGTGGTATAACTGGACAAAGTTGGTCCTTTACGCAAGCCCTCAGAATACTTAGGGATTCGTAGGTCTCCACACACATACAGACAACATAGACATGCACCTCAGTTACCATGATATAGAAGTAAATATGAAATAGGAAGCAGATATTAATATCTGCAATTATTCATTTCACAAGACAATATATAACATTGTTTATTTACATGAACATGCCATTATACATCAGTTTATCAAATAAATTCCACCAGCAAATTCTGACATTTGCGTACTCAAGACTGAGAGAAGAACTCTCCGCGAGTTCTTCTCTTAGTCTTAACAAAATTGTATAAAGTTACCACCACAGTATTCCCTACATATGCCCCACCTGCACGCGTTGCAACGCTCATGCAGTCCTTTACATTGGTATGTCAATTTGTTTTTACTGATCTAATGACATACACAGTATGCTCGGACGAATAAATGCGTTCTCTATTTAATATATTTAAACCGGCTAGTACTCACATTTCTTCTGATGGCGAGAAATACGAATTAATAAATACAATTATTTTTGTTACATATACGACATTTTCAACATCGCACTTCGAAATACTATAAGAGGCAAAACAAAATTGAAGATAGTCTATTCTCTACTTAATCCAAAAAGTTTTACGAGGCCCGCGTCCCTTTCTCGATCTTCTGACAACGGATATTTATCGTCGCAAGCAAACGCCAATAGGTGCCGTTTTGGATGCCATGCCACTGAGAACGTCGACGCTTTAACAGGAATTTGGTGAACCATTTCACCTGTTGGTGAACATAGACAGCATGGTTTAAGCTACATAATGTAGTTATCTACACACATTACTAAATTATGAGTTGTAAAATATACTACGTTTATTATATAATCTACAGCTAATTTATATGCCTAACAGCTTAACGGGACTGAATACAAAATAAATTATAATAGCACCGAGGACACGCCACTGTTACCAACTATGGCGCTATCCATGTGCTCACCTGTTTCAACGTGTGCAATGTCTATAACAAGGTCCTCAGACGCCGATGCAATTAACTTTCCATCGTGGCTAAAGCTTAGTGTACGAACTGGCCAGTCCAACCTAGAAAACACGTATACGCGAAAATACATCCAGGAAGATAATATCCAAATGTGGCTATCCAAGCGTATACCTCTTAAGTAATATCTGCTTTAGGTGGTCAGTGGACGAAGAAAACAGTTCCATCAAAAAAAAACGTAATTTTCATTTTCAACCTTTTTCGGTCTCAAATGTTGTAAAATATTATAACATTTCCAATCACATGAAACGTACTCAAAATATTTGCCATTGCTCATTTTTAAACGATTCCAGCCTTCAAAGATTTTGTGTCGGATATGTGGATTAGATGGCAATAACGTTCAAAATCAAATATAGCGAAATAGACCTATAATACCTTTCAAAAACAATTTACAGTAGTTTCTACGATGAATGGTTAACAAAAAATTTGTGAATCTGCATAAACTTATCTATTGAAGTCCGTTCTGCATATGTTACATATTTATATGTGAGAAGGTTAGATAAAATTAGCCCACTAGATGTTAAATATATATAGCACTATGATCTGCTTCAACAAGGGAAGGGGTGATCTAACTCGGAACCATATTTTGGTATATCGGTATAAGATCTGCTCAATAAGATAGGTTGAAATGTCGAGATTACCAGCTAATTTTTGGAAATTAGAGGAATTAGAAATTGATAAGCTTTTTCAGGGCATTTGAAGGTAAGTTAACAAATCTGGTACGCATCAAAATATTCTACATACTCTGTTTAAAAGAAAAAGACATCTCTATAAAGTTAGCTGATTCTCCACAAAGTAGAGGATTACATCCATTAGGATCCGTACACGTCCTCCAGGGAAATCAAATGCGTAGAATCGACCGGAATGTATCAGATTTGGCTACATGTAGTGGAAGTGTGTTGAATTTACTTAACCAATTTACTCACTCAAAAATGTCTAAAAATCTTGTGGTTCCATCAACTTAGCGGCCATCTCTTAGATTTCTTAAAAACTTATCTATCCGATAGGACATATGTCCCGATCTACTAAAACATGGTTATGCCAGCCCGAGAGCTATCCGTGCCCCTATAGAAGACTTACCTGTTGAAGGTACGAATGCAAATAAGTTCGTTAACATCCCAAAGTGAGACGAGGGCATCTGAGCTGCCGGTTGCAAAATAACGCCCACGAGGATCAAACTCTATGCATATACAATTGGACGGATGAGCCTGCAGTACTTGAATACTAGTCATCTCCGGGTAACTGCCATAGAGATCCGGAAATCACAGAAGCGAATTATTCTTTTAAAAAATTTCATTGCAATCTAAACCCTCCAGATAGACTTTGCTAGATTGACAATGTGTTAGTCCTTAAATTAAGCGAATCTGACGGATTTTTAAATTAAGTAATTGAACTTTTGAGCTACGCGCCACTAGCAGCCACAATTTGGCTAGTAAATGTCTCAGTATTGTTGCAATTGATGAGGCTTTTTACAAAAGCAGAGTCTAAGGGCTCTGCTTTTTTCGCCCTTCGAATTCCACTCGAATTCCACACGAAGCGTGTTACATAATTATAACCTAAATACTGAAAATGCGGAAATTAAATACTAAATGGGTCTCCAACCATTCATCATTCGAGATAGTTTGTTCCACATTCAATTTGCAAAATTTTATTCAATGAGAAACCTGTCTGGAGCATGTGATCGTCATAGACGAGGCATGGCTCAATCTGCCACCTTCTAAAAAGGCACTAAGCGAGCAAACGATATATTGAGTTCGGTAGCAGTGTTAAGTAAGTTTGGGCGTAAAGTAATGGTAGTATTTATGGTGGACATCAAGGGCATCTGCTACTGTGAGATAATCCTTGAAAATGGAACAATGAATGTATACCCGCTATCAAGAGTTTCTCAAGGGATTCTCGGATTGTTTGCATGGCAACTGAAAATATGCAGTCTGCTTACTTAAAGACAACAGCAGACCTTACTGTCATGCTCCAGTTACTTTCTGGATTGAACGAAAAATATGCAATGTTGGCTTCAACACGCTTATCCACTCGATTGGCCCGAGTTACAACTTTTTTTTCCCTAAAAAAGGCTATCAGTGAGCAAACATATATATTACTGTCAACTTACTTCGAGAAGCCATAGATAGAGGAAGTATATATCTATATATGGTTGTTCAGAAGCTAATTGAGCGCTAATACACGACTATAAGAAAAGAGTATCTCTGACATATTAAAAACCATTACTTTAATCTAACAGTCCATCTAATTCGGAAATTATTCAATTTCAAAGTTCGCCGGATTTGCTTGTAACAGTTTATATATAAATACAATGGTTGCCGGAGCTGTAAATTCACAACAATCACTACTCGAATTAATCAGGTAAGTCATCTATATAATTTACTTAAGCGTAAAAATATCTTCGACAAGACTGCTAATTACCTGAATACATGAATACAGCCAAGTCCGCTTGTAAGAAAGAAAAAATAGCCGCTTTTGTCCCAGGACATTTCGTTCACCTCAAATTTGAATTGTTGCTCCTGACGAATTTTGAACGTTGACACATCTACAAACGACACCAGATCCTGCCCGCAATAAATGCTATTAATGCAACCTATTATGATTACACGAACCCTAAATTATTATGAAATTATATTGCTAAAAATACGCGACCGGAAAATACAATTTTTGAGTTACTTTAGTCAAACAAAACCTTGCTCATTTTCAGCAAATTTTTTTCGATAGTTTCCAAAGGTCCTTCAATTTCAAATGGGCTAAATGTTGCAATTACCAGTTGTAATGATGCGCAGCTTTATTAGGTATACTGAACCGGTCACTCTAAAACTGTAGAATTTTAAGCTATTATGTAATAATAAGGTAAAGTAATATTTCAACATTAATCTTAGACTAGCGTTAATATAATAGTCGTCCTTTCAAAACTAAATCTACTAAATCAACAATAGGAAATCAAATAATAATAGACTCCTACTTCTTTGTTTCCAACAGCAAGAGTTTGACCATCCGGGTGCCAACAGATATTGATGTTTTCGCCTTTCGTAGCAACTGTGTGAACTGCTTTAGGCTGGCGCGCGTCCCATAATTTCACACTTCGATCAATGGATGCTGTTGCAAGCACGTCAGGGTTACGTGGATGCCAGCACAATTGGTCGACCGACTCCGAGTGTCCACGAAGCGTTGTATCCTTTGCCTAAATAAATTAACATGGATACCGGCAATTAATTTGTTTACTTTTATTTGTTCGCAATGAAACTAGCGAACGTTATTTGAAATTTCTCTGTAGGCTAATAAGGCCCCTGTGAGCGTAAAGGTATATATAGGACAGAGTGACAAAATATAATAAAATAAATAACAATATATACTCAGTTGTCGTAAAGTGGAAACTAATAGCCCTATTTCATGAGACTCACCAGTCGATCTTTTTCCAGATTAAATATAGTAACACTCTTGTCAAGGCTACCCGAGGCTAGTCTACGTCCATCTTGGTTCCAGGTTACGCAATGCACTTTCAGTGAGTGTACACTCAGCTCGCGTTGGCGGTCATTTTGAGCAAAATGCTTACGAAGTGTAAGCACCTCGGTCGAGGGTCTATTTGTGCTCATAATTTTTTTGCTCTGTTTAAGACGGATCAGAAAGTCAGGAAAGTAAAACATGTTTAAGACATAAAAAGAAGGCCATAAATCGACTTTACGCAAGTGCTACATGTACAGAATAATAACGTCTTAGTACACATAATTACAAAGCTTATTGCGATACGCATAAACCGGATGGCCCGTTCCAACTGCGCAAAACTTGCGTTTATCCGTTACCACTGGTACCAGACTAGTTCCTAGAAGTAAACAATGGACTCGTGATGCCCAAGGACACAGCATCGTTTTCAGAATTTGAATAAAGAGTAGCTTTGATACAATATTTTCGTACTGAACAAACTCATATTAAAATTAGAAACCCTTCTTCTCGGAAGTCTATGCAATTGCCGATTTGTCATGGGGTCTCTGACAAACTGAATAAAGATTTTTATGAGATAGATTGGAAAATCTTCAACCGAATTTACATTCAAACGATCGACAATGCATCAAAATGATTCAGATCAGTTTTTGATGTGCTTGGATTTTTCCTATAGAAATTGACGGTCTTTTCATCGAAGAGAATATCTAATGTCAACCAAGTCGGTAAGATCTAACTTTATGGATTAATTTTTTTGAGACTTTCCGAGCGCTTGCATTTTTAAGTCTTTCGGCCTACCATCGGGCAGAAATTTAATTCTGTAAACATTTTTTTCATATTGTGTATTTTAATATCGCTTAATGCATTGCAATTAAAGTTATTCGAAAATTAAAGAAATAACATTTTTAAAACGGTTTAGGCTCTGAATTGGAACTGTAGTCGCCGCAGATGATTGTTATATTGAATAAAGCTTTAAAAAAAATGTATAAAAAACTTTTAATCTACACATACACCTATACCGGCAAAATGCCATTTGAGCCTTTGCTTAATCTCCACGAAAGTATTAAGTAATCTCTTTTCGTTCTTTAAAGTTTAACACCTGCATTATCATCGTTTGTTGGCATCCTTCATAAGTCAGGATTGCGACCAAAGTGACGAACGCTAGATGTATTAATGACGACAGTTGAAGTCGTCAAAAACAGATCAGTTTTGTGGCGCGGGACTACCAAAGTGCTGCATTGTTTGGGACCTTTAGGTGCAGCTTCATCCCTTTTGGCATATGGCACAAAAGAAGCACTGTTCCGTCAGACGCTTTATTTTTCGAACAATAACGAAAAATAGTAATGAAAAATGAAATTGGATGGGATAAATATTAGGATATGTGCATTTATATATTGAAGTAAACTGATTTTGTTGTCACCTGACAGAAACAAATGCTCGATAGTCACTTGCCCTAGCCTAATGTAGTAATAGCCCAGTTTAGCTCTAGACAAATATAACACTCATATATATATATATATATATCTATATTGGCAATGATTAAGTTAGGCTCGTTCAGTTTGAACCGCCAGATCAAAGAATATGTATTAATAAAACAATTACGTAATTTGACTCAAAGGATGAGTAAACTACGTTGTGCCTAAAATTAAGTTTGTCGTAATCTATAATGATTATTTACTGCCGTTAAATGTTATGACAATGCAAGAGAGTTCATATGAACAAAGCCTCGTGAAGGTCGAAAAAAGAAATCTTCAATATAAATTGTAGTGTACTCGTTATCGTAACTCTTTGCCATCTGTCTAGATAAATTAAAATAATAACTGCAGTACGTTTTCACACTCTGCATTATCACCGTTGTACTCGGAATAAAATTATCCTTACGTTTACCGTTAACTATTCAGAATAGAAATGCTTTTTTTTCACTGTCGTTCCGAAGCTCAATCGAGAAGACACCATCGCTGGCTAAGCCGGCATCAATATTTACACCCCAACAACAAAACACAGCAGCATTTCAGAATAATCCCACCGCATAGCTTCATGTTGCTAGTACACTACACTATATACGAGCTAGTTTATTTAAGCGTGTCCGTGTTGTGTTGACCCCGTGTTACTCTGCTTCGATAGCGTTTGCTTCGTCGATGCTGGAGAAACATAACAAGTAGTGGATTCTCTGCAGCAGACGACAAACAGGAAGACTTAAAGGGATTCGCTGGCCATGCAAGGTTTTACTGCAGTAACAGCAGCTGTCAGAGTAGTTTGATCGAAATAGGACCACTGAATGGACTGCCTCACTGTTTTTCTCTAGGGATGGCGTGAGAAGCGTTGAATTGCGGTGCAAAGAGGAAACGGCGAAATATTTGTACGTATCAGACCTAGCAGTTTGCGCATGGCAGTGCGCACACTTGTTCCTCAGGTAGTATTCTCGACATTTATCAACAGATCAAAGGAAAATAGTGCAATATTGAATTGTTTCGTTTTTTAGTGTCTCGTATTTTTTGTTCTCGGAAGAACGACATTTACGTATGTGAAGGCTATGTTTGCCCTTCGCTCATCCGTATTGTTTAACTTGCACAGAAGTAGTCCATCAGTCTTGACAATCAACGGTTGATTAGTGAACGTTGGTCTTTTTCAGCTAGATACGTGCGTCTGTGCACAAACAGTAGAATATTATTGTACCACATCTTGAAATAGTAGATGCGTGCGCATATATGATAGACAAGTACCAAAGCAATCTACGTGTCGATAATTAACGAGCTTATGACACTTGCATTGGTTGTGCGTTGTGTATTAGGGTCCAACGGCATGTTGTAAACGATGAATTCATTTCCTCTGATGCAGTAGCCAACTTTGCTCAATTTGGTTCCGCTAAATGTCGCGAATCAAAAAATACTTGGAAGCATGCTTTGTGTCCATGTATGTTGCTTATATGTCTATATAGAGACCAGTTTTACACTTTTTTTTACACACACAAGTTTTTGTCACATTTCAGTTACGCACGTTAAATCGGTGTAAGCAAATCTATTGATGGTTTTTGTGCTTAAACACCGAGCACACATTTGGACTCATATCGGATCGTTTCATCAACAGCATCGTCTCGTACAAAGATGATTAAGGCGATCCTTGTATTCAACAATCATGGCAAGCCTCGCCTGTCAAAATTCTACACACGCTATTCGGAAGATGAACAACAGCAGATCATTAGGGAAACTTTTCAGTTGGTCTCGAAAAGAGAGGATAACGTATGTAACTTCCTCGAAGGCGGATCATTGATTGGGGGCAGCGACTACAAGTTAATTTATCGTCATTATGCCACATTGTTTTTTGTCTTCTGCGTAGATTCGTCAGAGAGTGAGCTGGGCATTCTCGACCTCATTCAGGTTGGTGTCGCCTGTTTTAGTGTCAAAATGATATGTCCCAGACACAACAGACCTGTGGAGTCGTGCCAATGTTGTCGTTCAAGTTCCAACTGATTGAAGCATTGTCAAATCTTTTTATAACCATGCCGACTCTTATACGCGTTTTATATTTCCAGGAGCGTTCAAGATCAACTTGACCTTACCAGTTGCTTCTGTCCTGAAAAGAGGTAGCACATGGGAATTTACCGGTAAAGTATAACTTTGAATCATCTGAATTTTATTTGTTTATCTTTTTTACAGGTATTTGTGGAGACACTCGACAAATGCTTTGAAAATGTTTGCGAGCTGGACCTTATCTTCCATGTGGATAAAGTTCATTATATTTTGAATGAGCTGGTAATGGGTGGAATGGTCCTAGAAACAAACATGGCAGAAATTATCGCTAGAATAGAGGAACAAAGTCGAATCGAACGGCAGGAAAGTGGGCTAAGTGTTGCTGCCGTGAAGAATATAAACATTGGCCAACAGATTAAGGATATCAAACTGCCCGACCTGCCTTCGATCGGTAATTTGAAGTTCTAATTCCTTCATGCTGCACACGTCAGTATTTCATTCATTGATGTAGCAGATATCATAATAGCAACGATCACATTAGCGTAAATAAGATTAGAATATTTAATTTTATTTTAAGAACCGTAGACGAGAACTAAAGTAAAGTAATAAACATTTCTGATTAAGAAAAACGAAAATATTATGATCTCTGCTAAACCATTATGAACACATACAAAGCACACAGCGAAAATTTTCCACACTTCTACGATGATAATATTCGCATCATTAATTTGTTCGTTATTATGTACATCCCATCTGGTGGCATCACGATTTTGTGCGCGAAAACGCTTCCCTCAATCAAGGTCACGTTTCCTTTGATATATCACTTTTTACTTTAATCATCTCTGTTACTTATTATACATATGTTTTGCACGATTTCTGTTATGCTTTTCTATCTCGGATAGAACATTACTGTTGCATTCTAATTAAACGGTGCCTGTTAAATTCCAAATTGCTATTAAATACGTCTTCTTTGATTTCTCTGTAAATACATCTTTGTGCTACCGACATAACTGAAGGTCTGCCAGAGTATAGGATTTTATGGCATTAAATTGTATGTGGGCGACATTGAAAGGTGAAGCTATATTATATGTGTATATGGTAATGTATGACAAGGATGAAGTTGTATTCCCGTTTGGAAATACCGTAAACTGCCAATCAATTAGGATATCTTATTTTTTACATTTGTTCACTTATGGGTTCATATAGTTATAAGCCGAGCAGGTTCCATAAGATGTTTGCGTTATGGAGTCGGCATGTAAAAAGTGTGTTAGAGAGAGAAAAAAATGTAATATACTTAATTTCCAGTTACGATGTTACAAATTCTATCGGCTTACTTTCTTAAACAATGGTACATTTGATCCTTCTATTGGATTGTAAGAGTTTATTTGCTTAAAGAACATAAATAATGCCAGTATTTAACATCGATTCTGTTTGGTTAGCCACCTCTTGTTTGTTAATGTTCTTGTACGTTACTTAGATAATGGGAACAAATGACAGTGGAGAAATTTGAATCTATTTCACGACGGTAAAGTCACCCTAGGACTGTTAGTGTTAGAATGTGTAGTGTTAAACCCTTGGTGTTACCTTTGTGAGCTCTGCATTGTCGTTGCTAATATTGCTTTCATAATTATAATACCTGAATGAACGCTTCTTGTTGTTATCAGTGGTTGTATGAGCGTGTCAAAAATAGCTCCCGAAACAATGGTTCCAGTAAACGATTTAGCCACTAAGCGACTCCAATGTTTCTATTTGATTAATTTTAATTACAGTAATCCGACGAGCTAGATACGTTTTTTTCTTTGATCTTTCTAGTCCGTGAAGTTATAACGATTGGCAGATACGTTATAATCTTTAGCCATGTAAGTTTAAAGTCAGATCTTTTATAACCTGAACATACATCTATCTTTTTATGAAATCTCGGTTCGACAAAACAACAATGTTATCATCAATTTTTTTTAATCAATATTTTTCAATCATCAATATTTTTATACCCCTGCCCCCTACACTTGCTGACTTAATGATTGATCCATTGTTAGCTGATGCATTAACATAAGCAAGATGAGAATTATTAACCGAAATTAAATTTGAAAAAAAATTGCCCTAAGAATGCCCACATTTAGATGTGGAGGTCATAGTTTTTGCTACCCGTTTCCTTTTCTTCATATATATACATATATATATATACACATGTACATGAAAATATGCCGCAGTATTTAGAAGTGCCTGTTCTTCGTTTTTTTTTGAAAGCTATTCACAGACCAGTCGAAAATTGCATTACTAGTGCTCTTCGCCCAGGATGTAGCATGGGGAAGAAAGCAGTGGGAATTTGCAGGCTATTTATACCATCGCCTGTTTCGGGCGGTCTGCACCATGACAATAGTAATAAAACGTAACGAAGTGCAAGTCTTTGACATGCAAAACCAATCTAGATAGGAGTTAATCAAAGTATAAAATAGAAATTAATGTATCGTCATTCCGAGATTGCTAAAGGTTTTCTAAATAACAGATACTTTATGATACAGTAGAATATCCGATTATTGGTAATTATTGGTACAATTATATTAGCAATTGTCATTAATATAAGAAGGCATCATGGAAAGCTGTCCATAGCAATAAAGCAAAGTGAGATTATAATTACATACGTGGATTTTGGTGTCTTCATCTAAAGTATATAGATTTTTAGATAGTGAGAAATACCTTTTCATGACAACGGAAATATTCCATCGTCTCGTTCCACACAAGAGGTTTTGTGCTGCTCAGGCTGATTTTGTGTAACTAGCGACGAATAACTATCCTTACGGTTGGAAGTGTTATGGATGAAGTCTTTTTCGGCACAATAAGAAAACTACCTTGAAAACGAAAATCTACAGTTTTCTATATTTCGAATGAGTGTTACATAAAACCCTTCGTATCGCCAGCTGCATACTCTAAAAGGAGTTGGAGATTTTTCCGATACCGATACTTGATTACTTGCATTTACCCGGAATGTTTATCCAGAGGTCTTTGATCCCTTTTCATTTTTATACACTGCACTTGTTTGTGGGTTTTATTGTCTCTCTAAACAACTGAGCCTTAGAGAAAGCTCGATTGAAACGAAAGTAAATCTCACCAAACTGGACATGAATCTGCTCTTGTTTTGTAAAACAGAAACGGTCAATGCAACAGCAAATTCAGCAGCGCCGTTCACTGCATTGAAAAGTGTGGAAGCAAACGTAATCTGCCGCCTTTCCTTTTTAGATAGTTGTGCGTATTGTTAATGAGCAGAATCAATACTTATTAGGCAATGTGGTATGCTTGTATGGATGTTTTAGCCCGGCACGCTCGTTCTAAATGTCCTCTCAAAACGATTTTCAATAAAACAGTCACTTCCGTCTATTTTGTTGTATTAATTCGGCCTTTCTTATTTTGCATCTTGTAAATATTCATTGGTCAGTCGATTCACTATCGGATAATCGTAAGATTGAATGATTGCGCTTGATTGTCTTAGAAAATATCGTATCTATATATGTAAAATATATTTAGAGATATCTTTTACACAATGTTTGCTATGCTCATTGCTGATGCTAATGTGAGTTTTCTGCGGCCATTTTAAATGTATATTCTTATCGATTAACACGTCAGAATCGGATTATGTTATGGTCAAGTGGCATCGCTTTTTCTCTATTTTCTCATCGCCTCAGTGAACAAAAGCGTTGTCCCTTCATTAATATAATACCGTTTCAGACAAAACCAAGTTCGTGATTCTCCGTACAATGAAGGGAAGAGACAGTAAACATGCGTTTCTTAAATAAAAAAAATGCAACGATTTTCAAGCGGAGTCCAGCCCTCAAGTTGGCAAAGAGGCATATCACTTGCAAAAGGGAAATCTGTACACAACAGTAGCCAAGGACGAAATAATCCTAATTAGTTACATACCAACATTAAATTTTAGTGATATTTATCCAAAAGGATCTTATGGCTTGAGACAACAGCTGTTTTTCATATCACTTGTATGTTAGATGGGCAAACGAAAAGGAATTGTTGAAATACAGAGTGGTGAAAAAAACGATTTTGACGATTCCGGTATTTATATCTATATTACCAATGTGTGTTGTACATGACTATCTTGTAACGTTTATTGCATTTCGAAACTATTAAATTCTATTAATCTAAATAAATATATGTAAACGTTAAGATACATTTCGTTTTCGAGTTTTTTTTCGTCGTTTTAAGTGTTTTCAAGAAACTTCATTGTGCTGCAGTACAAAATTTCATCCTGTGTGTTGTGAAAGAGAGTTCAGGAAGGAATACAGACGTTATTTTAACAGACAGGTTTGTTGATGAATGTCGCATTTTTTTTTTACTAGAACTCGACAGCTATCTTTTTGGCTTCTAGTTTAACTTCTGGTAACGCTTCAGGCAACACCTGAGAATTGATATAATATATCATTAAGTTTCTTCAAGCTAAGCAGGTTAAAAAAATTGAAGAACCTTTACGCACTTAGCTACGCATCATTACCAGATGAAATTTAATAAATATTTACACCAATTTTTTGGTTATTTACGCCTACAAGCTGACTGAGTGTCATCGGAGAGTAATTAGTTAATTTGCAAAGATGTCGCTTAGCAGTGAATATCAATACTCATTAAGTTTCTGTTTCTCGAAAGTTGGAGCGCCAATGGAATCTATCGCCGATTAGTGGAAATACTGGACAAGAAGGCCTTCAGCAAAATAACTTTTCGTTACTGGTACAAATATTTTAAGAATGGAAATTGAGAAATTGAAGGCCACGAAAAAGATGATTGTACCTCAAGCTGTCAAACGGATCACTAAAGCTCACTAAAACAGGGCATGCGCAATGCTCTCCCCTTTGACTCAATGTGGGATGCCTTAAGGCTTTGTTTATTAAGTTGAAACGAAAAGAGTAAGCATGAAGAAACGAAAGATGTGCACACGAACTGAGTTCAGGACGGATGAAACACGTGTACTGTACTTTGTAGATAATTTGCGTTACAATTTCCAGAAAAAAATTATTTTGGTGCACACAACCGCCGTAGAACAAAGGTGCTAATGTAACGAAATAGTTTATGCAAATTACTTCCAGCTACTAATGTGAATTATTCGTACTTTTTATAGTTTTTATTAAATGCGGAAAACATGCAACAAATAGTGAAAGCTCCAATTCAGCTTCCTAGAAATAGGACTTAGATCTACATCTGAAACGTAAAAATCAATCAAACTAAATTATGTATAAATATTAAGAGGGCCATTAAAAAAGGCAACTAATTTTCTAATGTCGTCGATTAAAAGTCGAGAATATGCTTTCTAAGGTATCCATAATCTAGCCATTTGTATACATGCTTCGAATTTTAAGTCTGGTACTGCTGTCATGCATTGCTTAAGACGACTGGCTTTTAGCACGGAACAAAGTATGCTTAGTTCCGGTTCTGGAATGCCCGGTTTCGCTTGTAGACCACCACGTTAATGTGAGTCTAGTACACCAGCTTGTTATTACTGTATTATTACCTTCAACTCCACTGAAAGCATGCTAGGCGTTCTCCACTACGCTATCTATTCAGCTTGTAGGTATGTAAATTACTATTACCGCTACTACTTTTATTACAAATACACACGAATTTCTTTTCGGAGACACTGAGTCGGCGTGTCACAGACAGCCCATATTTATTGATTTATTTGTTGTTGTTGTTTAACTGTATATAAAATTACACTGGCGCGTCCCTCTGAACGGTAAACACCTAAACTACCACAAGAGGGCACGGATGGCGGCGAATCGTTTAAATCTATCGCCCTTGTCCGCCAACTCGCTGTCTAACCAACATTTTTTATGTCTACATACCATACACCACTTCAGCCAACATCTTTCCCATTATTTTTGTATTATCTTTTCGTCGGGATGTTCTAATGCAACAAATGCTACAACTTTCAACGGCTAGCGTTCCTCTTGTTCCAATCCCGAGTCGAAATTCTCTCTTCAGCGTTCCGTAGTTCTCCTTTAAGCAAGGCTGATGGAAACCAATAAATTGTGTCCGTCCGTCATCGATGGCGGGCACTAAGCCAGGCGCTCGCAAAGAAATATTTTGGACTGTAGTGTCTCGAGGATACGGAACAATACTAAGTTTGGCCTAGGTGTAGGCCCCCCCCCCCCCAACAATTTAGTCCGGTCTATACATACGTAAGCACTGCGAAGTCTCGAGATGACCGTTACCTCTCTAAGGGGGGTTTCGAAGCGGCGGAATACAGCAAGCAATGCTCACGGTAATAATAATATTATCGTTATAATAGTAATAATAATTGTACCTCATAATCTCTATAATATATACAACAGTCACAGAAAATAGAGCTTACTCCTTATTAAATCTTATTATTTCTTCACATTTTACATAATTTAGCTCATCCTATTTTTAATAATATAGATGTGAAGACATTTTTCATCTTCTACTTATATCTCGTATTTCCGCTACCAAAAGTTTCGATCGACCTTTGATAGGAGTTTAGCCACAATATATTTTGCTATACCCTTAAACAAATTACTTTCTTTCCCTACACGGTCTTCTGCGTGGCCCAACGCCCCTAAGTAGCAGATACCTAAAATGAAACTGTTCTTTTGTTAAGTCCATGCTCAAACTTTAATTTTATAGTATTAGCAACTAGTCTGGCCAACAGTTCAACGGATGAAACCATCGAATACACTTGCATTTTCTTTGATCGCAAATTGGCTAGGCCTGCCAAACGCCGGGCCACAGATCCGATCAGGACTTGAAAACCATTGATAAATAATAAAAATGGCTAAAATATAATAGCCCGTTTTTTATCGAGTAGGGCTATCGGCACGATACGTCTTACATGACCGTGTAACACAGCGATTTGCTCCTTTTACTAGAACACACCCATTAAAATGAGCATTTTCTGTATTCGTCATTACATATAGGTGTATCTTGTCGAAGTATTTAGTTGTCCATCGCTTTCAATTCTCATAGACTTCGCCATGAAGTTTTCTATTTGAACGCTTATTCCTATCGTGTAATCTTCGCCCAGTTCTTGTCGGTTTTCATTTTCGTTAAACACATTTTATTTTTCTACATTTATATATGTCTGTGTATAGATATATGTATATACATGTATATATAGGTTAGTGTCACGAACTGCTTGGTAAGTTGTTCGGGTGTATTCAGTGTTTAATCAATCTTAAAGACTCTGTCTTCTTTTACAACAGTAGTATATAGCGTTGATAATTTTCTCTAAAGTTAATGTTAGTGTGTTCACCCCGATATACAATTTAT